GAGGTCAAGAGGAACAGAATGAAGCAATCAATAGGGGCTTGGGAAATGAGCAATGGCAGAAAGACCTGTGTGTGGCATACAACTGGGGGGCAGGGACAGAGGTCCGGGGTCAAGATGGGGGATGGTGAAAGGGTGAGGCTTATAGGGAGAAGCTAATGTGTGTGTGTGTCTCTCTCTCTCTCTCTCTCTTTCTCTCTCTCTCTTTTTTTTTTTTTTTTTTAATATATTTCATTGATTTTTTACAGAGAGGAAGGGAGAGAGAGAGAGAGCTAGAAACGTCGATGAGAGAGAAACACCGACCAGCTGCCTCTTGCACACCCCCTACCAGGGATGTGCCCGCAACCAAGGTACATGCCCTTGACAGGAATCGAACCTGGGACCTTTCAGTCCGCAGAGACGCTCTATCCACTGAGCCAAACCGGCTTCGGCTAATGTGTCCCCCTTACTGCCTCTCCTCTCAGACCCTGGAAATGGGGGTTTGCCAGCCCCCATGTTGACCACATCCATCGGTTCATCCCTGGGCCCTGCGGCCTCTGGCTTCCAAGGGCTGCCCTGAACTCCGGGACAGTGACCCCTCCTTAGTCCCTAAGGTGGAGCATCAGCTCCTCTCACCCAAAGAGCTACCACTCTCTCCCAAGGACAGAAACAGCTCTCCATCAGCCTCCAAGGGGCCCCTGATCTCCCAGGCCAGGCATCTCATCCTGGTCGCCAGCTCTGTAAAAGGAACTGGGTACAGTCAGTCAGTGCTTTTAACATTTTTATAGGTCTCTTACAGATCCAACTCAGTCACCTAATTGCAATTCTCTTAAGCTGGTTAGTTTGTAACCAAAACGGTGTGTTTTCACCCTGCCCCACAAGCTCAGTGGTTAGAGCATTGGCCTGAGCACAGAAGGGTTGCAGGTTCATTCCTGATCCTGGTCAAGAGTGTGAGGAGGCAACCAATCAATGTGACTCTCTCACAGGGATATTTGTCTCTCCCTCACTTCCTCCCCTCCCTTCCACTCTCTGAAAATCATTGAGAAAATATCCTGGGGTGAAGATTACAAAAAAAAAAAAAAAAAGTGTGTGTATTTTTTTTAGTCTATAGATAGCCCCTATTGAATATTATGCTATAATATTCTTCACCTGCCCATGGCTTTCACCTTACCACCAAAGCACAAGCAGAATGCACACATAAAATGTTTAAACAACCAATTTATAACCACCCTGGAGTGAACAAACTTCTGTCTAAGCCTCAGGTACTAAGACACTCAACTTTCAACCTGTGAAGTTACTCCACATAATGAGCAGGCCCATCTTTATATATAAAAGGCTAATATGCAACGTGTCCTCTCAGAAGTTGGACCGGGAGACTGGGAGTTCGATTGCTCGCTATGATGTGTACTGACCACTAGGGGGTGGCACAGAGCGAAGGAAGGCCCTGACCACTGGCCAGGCCTAGGGACTCTACCTGTGCACGAATTTCGTGCACCAGGCTTCTAGTTCCTTATTAAAACAACGAAACTTGTAACTGTGAGGGTCAGGGACAGCCTGTGTAGGGCAGGAGGAGCGTTAACAAGAGAAAAAAATTTTACTTAGTACACATACAGTTGGAAACTGCCTGAATTGTTTTCCAATAAAAACATTCTTCTGGAGGAGCCACTCAGCCCCTGGGGAGGGCTTTTTCTTTTAAATGTCAGAACCCACATCTGTACATGCCTGACCGGCACTGAGAACTCCGCACACGCAGTGTCCTGTAGCCAGAGGTGCCAACCAGTCCTGGGTTCAAGGTACGAAAACCAAGACCAAGGCTGACAACTCTTTCCCAGCGGGGAGCAGCAGGACAGCAGGGGGCCCGGGGCCGTCCAGCCCGGTGCCTCTCAGGACAGCAGGGGGCCCGGGGCCGTCCAGCCCGGTGCCTCTCGGGGCAGCAGGGGGCCAGGGGCCGTCCAGCCCGGTGCCTCTCTCAGGGCAGCAGGGGGCCAGGGGCCGTCCAGCCCGGTGCCTCTCTCAGGGCAGCAGGGGTCCAGGGGCCGTCCAGCCCGGTGCCTCTCAGGGCAATTCCCAATACGTGGCTGGACCCACGGAAACTCCCGGACAAAAGCGACTTTCCTGGAAGACCGGCCTAGGAAATACCTGAGGTGGGTTCGCCCAGGTGGGAGCGCCGACCCCGCGGAGCGGGGCGACCCCGGAAGCGGTTTCTGCTCGGCCAGCTCCGTCCCAGATCGCAGGGAGCCGCACCGGGCAGACCCAGGCGGGTCCTCCGCGCCGGGAGAAGGTTCCCACGGGGGCGGGGCGGGGCGCGGCGCACGTGACCTGGACGGCCAATCGCGGCCCGCGCCGGGCGAGGGGCGTGTCCACAGAACAAAGGGCGGAGGGAAGGGAGGATCGTGCACTCTGGCGCCGAGGGGATCCTCCCAGTCAAAGGGACGTCCGCTCGCCCGCCGAGGACAGGGGGTGGCAGCGGGGCCGTGGAGAAGACCACAGATGGAGGGGTGAGGTAGGTAAGAGGGTGACTGCCTGCCAAGGACAGGGGGTGACAGTGGGGGGAGGGGGGATGACAGCGAGAGACCACCCAGAGGTGACAGGGAGAATGCCCATGAGGGGAGGGTGTGACAGCAGAGACAGACCGCCTGTCAATGAAAGGAAGTGACAACAGGAGAAGGGGTCATCAGAGGAGAGGTGAGAGCAAGAGGAAGGGTAACTGTCAACGAAGAAGGGAAGGGGCTTCCAGGAGGTGACAGCGGGAGTGGGGGTGACATTTGGGCACCTTGGAGGTGGGGTGATAGAGAGAGGGGCAGTGTGACTGCCCACCAAGGAAGAAGAGTGACAGTGGGGGTGTGACAGCCAGGGAGGGGCCACTGGAGGGGGGCAATGGCAGGTGTGTCAACCCTCCCGCAGTCCCATCCCTTCCTGCCCTGGCTCAGCCCCATGTAGCCCCCTGACAGAAAGGTTGGCTGGAGGTTCCTTGTTCTTTGATACACAGTCATGTTTTAAAATAATAGGTTAACGGTACAAATGCTCAAAAGAGAAATCTCAAGAACCAATGAACTGAAATAAAAAGGAAATAGAAACTACCTGTCCTTGCTCTGAAAGGCAGTATCTATTTACAAATCCTTTGTGAACCAGACTATGTAATTTGACAGGACAAACTCCGAGGTATTCCATTTGTAGGTGATAGGAAAGTCCCTTTCCCAGAGAATGAGCGAAATGAGCAGTAACTGCCAAGGAGAGAGCCCCTGGGGAGATGACTGGCTGTCAAACTCATCCTAAAGAGCTGAGGCAAGTCATTACACGTGCTCAACAGCAGTTACAAACATCTGTAATTAGACACATGTAACTTTCTTTCTGTGCATAGATGTACACGGGATGTATCCAAAACAGAAAATGTCAAACGAGCACCTTGGTCCGGTTTCTCAATGATAACCTGGTTAGACTACACTAATATTTTTATTTCAATAATATTTTATATTTTTATAATAAACAACTGCATATCACTTGATTACTATGTGAGCCCAGCTTAAAATGACCAGCTGTAGATAGGGGTTCACTGCAGAACTCTCATAAGATGTGGACCCCATCCCCAGCAGTGGGGCTGAATCAACACCAAGACATCCAGACTCTGGACCCAAGACAGCTGTTAAAATATGCTTTCTTTTCCTGTATTAAAAGCATCACCAATGAATACTGCTGCTTAATCCCGATATTGGACTCTGAGATGGGGTCAGACATGCCAGGAGACTGGATCCCCAAACCAGGGGTAAGCAGCAGGGCGACTCAGGACCAAGGTCCAGAGGTGATGGACATGACCACGGGAACTGGGGAACCTGATACATTTCTCTTCTGAAGAGTCATCTGCAGAAAACATGGGCTCAAGAAGCATACACAAAGACACTCTTCAAACGTCACAGAAGTATAGCAATCCTAACCACGGTGGAGCAGGCTACAGTATTTCAGCAGGCTTCAAGCAGCCTTCACAACACTATGGAATGAGCTGTTCAGCTAAACACCTCTCAGTAACTGTATAAAGCGTGCAAAAGGACCACAGATTAAAAATTGACTTCCTGGCCTAAGCATTTTGGAAAATGAAGGAAAACAGACTCACACCAGTCTGTGTGGAGGGGGAGTGAAAACTGTCTTTAAAAAGGAGCAAACCCACAGAGTCCTCTCCCTTTGAAGGATCAGGGGATGGAGCCTAAAGACCGCCCCACATCAGACCCCCTTCCAGACAGAAGCTGAACAAGCTGCTCTTCTCAGAACATCCTAGGGCATGGTGATGCCACCCCATCTCCTGCTGGGAATGGAGGTCCCCGAGTCCCATTACACAGCCCACAGGAAAAAGCAAAACCCGCTGCCTACCCAGCTGCCTGTGAATATACAAGCTGACTGTTCTTTTCCCGTTTGCCCATTCTGTACACAGGGTGGGGCAAAAGTGGGCAGTCGTTCATAATACAAGAATAATCTCCATTACTTCATGTACTCACAACTATAAACTCGGTGTTCATAACACCATCAGGAAACTTGTAAAAAAAAAAAAAAAAAAAAAAAAGTCAACCCAAACAAAACCTCAAGTTCCTAAACTTTAAACGTGCTGCATAAATGACAGCCTGCAAATAAAATTGCTTTTAAAAAACTAAACATGTAAACAGTAAAATAGGTAACCTTCCAGATATATTGCTACAAAATCAGTCCTACACTTAAAAGCTACACCTCATTTGGAGCTGGTTCTAATGCAAGACATTTGGCATTCAGAAGTGGGAAGTGACGCACATTCGGTTTGAATCATGCAAGGTTTATTCCTGAGACACACACAGTTCTTCCCACACTGGCCTAAAGATAGGAATTACACCCCCCCCCCCCCCCCCCCGCAGTCCTGGCCATAGGATAAACTTCAGAAAAAAGAAAGGACCCCTGACAGGCAGGGTCTGCCCCACCCCTGCAGGGCCAAGTCAAGGGGCAGAGCAGCAGGTGCTGCCCCTAAAGGCCAGCACCCCGCCACACACGCACACGCGCACACTCACTCGTCGCCGTCGGGGCACACGCCGCTGGCCTCGTCGTACTTGGAGCAGTACACGTCCGGGCTGTAGTTGAAGGTGCCGTCGCGCCTGCGGAGCGGTCTGCGCCGACGCTGATTTAGGAAATGCCAATGGAAACAGGTAAATGGCCTGTGCTGGGCGCACTTGTGCTGCACAAACAGGGCGCACTGCTCTGTCCTAAACTCCTTTAGATACCTAAAAAGACAAACAGTGTTGCGGGTCGCTTCCGCCGCTGCCGCCGCCACAGGCAGCCGGAGGGAGGCTTGTGGGTTTGGGCGGGGGCAAGGGTTGTTGGCCTGACCCATGGGCCCAAGGCAGCACGACCCCAGGGGCGACCCTCCCACCCCCCATTTCGAGCCCAGATGGCCCCCAGACAGCCGCCCTCCCCCACCGTGAGTCCGGGCGCGAGTCCCGGACCGCAGGCGCGAGTCCCGGACCGCAGGCGCCGGCCCCCGGGGCCCATGCACAGCCCCCCATCCGGCCACAGGCGCCACAGACACTGCGGCTCCGGGCGCGCCCCGGCCCCCGCGCCCCGGTGCCATCTCCGACCTCAGTGCAGCCCCCCCATCCCGGGCCCCAGGATGACTGCCCCCGCCCCCCCTCGATCCCAGCGCGGGAGCATTTCTCCGACCCCAGACACGGTCCTCAACCCCAGGCATGGGGGTGCGCTGTGCCCTGGGACCCCCCCCAGGCCCGGCCCCCCAGGCGCAGCGCACCCCCACCCCCAAGCCCCACGCGCGGCTGCCGCTCGGAAGCCAGAGGACCCCAGACGGCCGCCCGCCGCCTCGGGGCCAGGAGCGCCTCCCAGACCTCAGGTGCGACCCTCCCGACTCCCGTCCCAACCGCAGACCCGACTCCCCGCTTTCAGGCACGACGCCGGGACCCCAGGGGCGCCGGACCCCCAAGCCCCGGTGACACCTCCGACCCCGGGCAGAGGCAGCCGCGGTCCGGACGGCCGCCCTCCCCGCCCAGGAGCGGCCCCCCATCCCGGGTCCCGGGCGCCTTCTCCGCGCCCCTCCTCCCCGGCCGCAGGTTCTGCTCCCCGGACCTCCGAATCGAGGCGCGCGGACCCCGGGCCCCGGACCCCGGGCGTTCCCCAGCCACCGAGCCCCGGCGCCGCCCGGACCCCGGGCGCCGACTCCGACCTCAGGCAGCGGCAGCCCGAGCCGGAGGGCGATCCACCCGCCCGGAGTCCCCGCGCCGCTCACTCGGGCGGCGGCCGGGCGAGGCGGGGACGGGAGGGCGCGGGGGGCGGCGGCGGGGGCGGCGCCGGGCCCCAGGCCGCGCCGGGCGGCGGCTCCCAGGCCCGGGCCCCGGGGGCACCGCCAGGCGCGCGCAGGGCGGCTCCCGGCCGGCTCCCGGCCCCCGCGGCGGCCCCGCACTGACCTGTAGTGGGTCGGCTTCTCCGTCTGCGGGGGGGACCCGCTCAGCGCCGCCGCCGCCGCTTTCGAAACAGACGGCATTTTCAGTCAAAACAATGCAGCGCGCATGCGCCGCGCGGCCCGCCCCCGCCCCTCGGCCCGGCCCCCGCGGAGCCCCCGGCCCGGCCGCGGCCACGCCCCCGGCCCCGGGCTGCCGCCGGCCGGCGCCTCCCGGGCGGGGCGCTAAGCTCTCCGTGACCCTCGTGCGCCCCAGACCAGGCCCCGCCGGGGACACACCCCGGGCATCGCCGCTACCACTCCCGCATCCTCCGTGCAGAGCGGCGCCCCCGCCCCGCGGCGCCCGCGGTCCAGCTGCACGCCTGTCCGGCAGGCTGTTAGCTCTCCTCCTGCCCGCTGCTGCCCTGGGCATCTGCTCGCCCTGGGCGCCCGGGAGCTGGAGCCAACAGGTCCTTGGGATTTAGACGCCTACACCGGCTGCTCAGCCACACTTCACTCATTCACTGCCTCTGAGCCCATGCTGGGTGCTGAGGCTGAGAGAATGGGTCCCATTGCTTAGGGCTGGATGGGGAGGGACGAGGATAGGGCATGTTGCTCGTGGGCAAGGAGTTTCTTTTTGAGTTTTTACCGAGAGGAAGGGAGAGGGATAGGGAGTTAGAAACATCAATGAGAAACATCGATCAGCTGCCTCCTGCACATCCGTCACTGGGGATGTGCCCACAACCAAGGCACGTGCCTTTGACCGGAATCAAACCTGGGACCCTCCAGTCCGCAAGCCACCGCTCCATCCACTGAATGGAGTTTCTTTTAGGGAGTCGGAACATATCCTAAAATTAGATTGTGGTGATGGGTGCCCCATGTGAATATATATCTTTAATAGTATATTTAAATGGGTGAGTGAAGCTGATTTTTAAAGAATCCGAGACTCATCCCGACATCAACAGGGTAGAAACTCAGGGAAGCAGGCAGCAGCTGCCCCAACTCTGCTGGCCCTGGAGTAAGAACCAGGGCATGCATTTCAGACACAACCCAGGCCCAGAGTGTATTATTCTGTAAATATGTGGCATAAGATACATTTTTTTTAAAATGTTCAACTTCTCGCCAGGCCGGCGTGGCTCAGTGGTTGAGTATCGATCTATGAACCAAGACGTTACAGTTCAATTCCTGGTCAGGACAGATGCCTGAGTTGTGGGCCCCAGTGCGGGGCATACAGGAGGCAGCTGATCAATGATTCTCTCTCATCATTCATATTTCTGTCTCTCTCTTCTTTTCTCTCTGAAATAAAAACATTATTAAAAATAAAAAATAAAATGTTCAACCTCTCTTAGTAATTAACAAAATGCAAATGAAAGCAAGGCAAGAATCTGAAGTGGGCTGAAATGCATTCTGCAATGTTGGTGGCCTACAACAAGCAAGCTGAAGCACAACTGAAACAGATGCTGAACTTCACAGAAAATAAGGTTCCACTTCTAGGAACTGACCTAAATATAAATCAGAGTCAGATAAAGATCATTATCAGTCACTTAGCAAAAGCTTGAGAGCGCCTGACAGAACAGTAATTGTGATATGGTTAAGTTCGAAAGCTATGCCATGATTCAACAATGGTCCTACTGACATGAAAAATGCTCCTATTTAGGTTAAAAACAAAGCAAGGTATAACAATTACATATAGTTGTTCTCAAGTATGTAAGTTATTTTTTGAACTACAAGTATTACAGTAAAATAAAAGCTGTCATTTGCTGGTGGGATAAATGATTTTCTTTATGTTCATTTTCCAAATGAATTACATTTACCTCTACAAACATTACATTTAAACCCAGAAAATGGCAAAAAAAAAAAAATCAACGTATTTCCTAAGAAAATCAAGAAGGAGAATGAAGCAGAGGACAGGACTCAATTTGTTGGAGGAGGAATGAACAGATCTTGAAGGCTGCTAGTAAGTGGGAAATAAAAAGAAGTCTTTTAATTAAGGTTCCTGGCTTGCAGGAATAACAAAAAAAAAAAAAAAACAGGTTTAGGGAGAAATGAATTCCATTTTGCACCTGAGCTGTTTGAGAAAGCTATGAAGTCCAGTACTGATGTATAGAGAACCACTTTTGAGCTCAAAACATGAAGTTGGGGCTCAATTTAAAAATGAGTGGTTGGGCATCGTCCCATGCTCTGAAAGGTTGCTGGTTTGATTCCCAGGCAGGGTACCAAGAAGAAAAATTTAAAAATCTGGGGATCTTTACTGTAGAGGCGGGAGTAAAGGTGCCTACTGTTTCTTCTTACCCATGAGGCATTTTCTTTGAAGAAACCAGAGAATTGTGCAAGGTTGTAAAGACCCAGTGTAATTTTTTGTGCTTCCAAAGACCTTTTTTATTTTTTAATGTTTTTATTGATTTCAGAGGAAGGGAAAGGTAGATAAAAACATCCATGAGAATCATAGATTGGCTGCCTCCTGCATGCCCCCTACTGGTCATATGCCCTGACGGGGAATTGAACCGTGACCTCTTGGCTCATAGGTCCACACTCAACCAGAGTCATGCTGGCTGGACCTGAAGACCATTCTTAAATGGCTGGGGTAGTACCTAGACATATAAAATAACACTTCATTGAAAATTTAGAAGTGTTTTACTTTTTTGGGGGTTGGGGTTGAGAGAAATGCACAGCCAGAACTGTTCAAAATTGCTCAGCTGCTTGAAAGATGTGAGGCCATTTCGTTAATCTCCTCTTCCTTGAATTTTCTTTAAAACAATTTTCTCCTCCTTCTGCCCAACACTTTCTCATCTCATGAGTCACTGCAACTGTTTCTGTTATAGCATGCTTATACCAGTCCTCTCCCTCTCCAATCCTCATCTGGTGCTTATCTAGGGAAGCGAATGTGCAAAGCAGCCTGGAAAAAAGAAAAGCTACAGCCAGTGGGGGAAAGAAGATGAGCATACTACAAAAATTGTTAAATAATAAGAGGATTTTGCCGAAACTGGGTTGGCTCAGTGGATAGTGTTGGCCTGCGGATTGAAGAGTCCCAGGTTCCATTCCGTTCAAAGGCATGTACCTTGGTTGCGGGCACATCCCTGGTAGGGGCCGTGCAGGAGGCAGCTGGTCGATGTTTTTCTCTCATCGATGTTTCTAACTCTCTCTCCCTCTCTGTAAAAAATCAATAAAGTATATTTAAAAAAAAAAAAAAAAAAAAAAAGCCAAGTGCCAGGGCAAGGGGCAGATGGGGGTGGAAACAGCTGCTGGTTGCTTCCAGATTTTGTTGTTGTCATTAATCCTCACCCCAGGATATTTTTCCATTGACTTTTAGAGAGAGTGGAAAGGAGGGGGGAGACAAACACATCGATGAGAGAGAAACAAGGATTGGTTGCCTCCTGCACGCACGATGGCCAGGGCTGAGGATCAAGCCTGCAACTGAGGTACGTGTCCTTGACCAAAATCAAACCCGGGATCCTTCAGTCTGAGGGCTGATGCTCTCTCTATCCACTGAGCCAAAACTAGGACTCTCCATCTTTAAAAAAAAAAAAAAAAAAATGCACCCACGGCCCTGGCCAGTGTGGTTCAGCTGGTTGGAGTGCCATCCTGTAATCCAAAAGGTTGAGGGCTCAATTCCTGGTCAGGGCACATAACTAGGGTTGTGGGTTCAATCCCCAGTTAGGATACATACAAGAGGCAACTGGTCAATGTTTCTCTCTCTCCCCCTTCTTCTGTCTAAAATCAATAAACATATCCTCAGGTGAGGATTACAATGACAGAAAAAAAACACATATTTGTATTCGTCCCACCTCCCTGACAAGCATAATTTACCAAGGTGCATCAGACACTTAGAGAACTTGAGCAAAGGCCTTGTGAGAAGCCAATATACTGTCATGCAGCCAGTGTCTTTAAACATTCTGCAATTAACTTCAGCAGCATATACTAGTACATGCCAAGGTAAAACCTTTCACTAAAAACTTACGTAAATAAAATCTGCTTTTTATGCATCTTGTATTTCAGAATTAAAGATTCCTAAGTGGTACTTGAAAACATAATTTAGATATCCAAAATATTATAATTTGTCAAAAGAAAAATTAATCAGTTTTATTCAGAAAGTTGTTGCCTTGATAAAAAAAAAAAAAAGAAAAGAAAAGGAAAGAAAAGAAGAAAAGAAAAGAAAAGAAAAGAAAAGAAAAGAAAAGAAAAGAAAAGAAAGAAAGAAAGAAAAAAGAAAAACCCACAAAGGAACCCCGCCAGTATGGCTCAGTAGTTGAGCTTCCACCCATGAGCCAGAGGTCAACAGGATTGAGATCAAGGCACAAGCCAGTGTACGGCTGGATCCCCAGTGCAGGAGGCAGCCAATCCATGATTCTCTCTCATCATTGATGCTTCTCTCTCTCTCTCCCTCTCTCTTCTTCTCTCTAAAATCAATTTTAAAAGAAGGAATTGAAAAAGAACTAAAAGGTTCCCTTTGTTTAATGAGATGCAGAAAGGGTGGGGGTTGGCTTAAATCCACATTAGCTAACTAAAATTTATAATCAATTTGTTAGTTTGTATAACATAATTTATACATACCACAGCACATTATAACATAAAAAACTTAACTCTTCTGAGTTATTCTGTCTCAGAAAGCAAAAGACCCGCAAACTAGATTACACTGGATTACAAGTGTCACCAGACTTGCTTTGGAAACATGTTGAAAATCACAAATCCAAAACCTTTTATATGGATCTAAAAAAAAGTCTTTTGTGCATATTCGTTGGGCATCAAAGTAACAGGCAAAGAATTGGGTCCAGTTTGCTGACATTCTGCTCTCTCCTTCCACGTGCGCCATCCAATTCCTTCTGTCTGGGGACACACATATCCACGACAGAAACTATCAAATGCGATGTCAAATCTAAGGGCCGTTGCCAGGCCACTCGCTGCCTGCCCCCGCGGGCGCCCCTTTAAGTTCTCGCTCCATAGGCAGCTGGAGGTCCAGGTTCCTCAGAAGGATCGCTGGGCTCCGGCTCCTCTTCTTCCAATATCTGTTTCAACCAGTGGTCCGTGCTGGTCTCCTCCCTAGCGAAGCACCAAATGAGCAGAATCATGAGGGACAGGCTTATGGGCAGCACCCTCCACCAGGGTCGCTGCCCCTCCTTTCCCAGGGAATGCTCCACCGTCCAGTGGGTCGGGTTGGCTTTGCTGGTGGAAAACTGAATGGGGCGGTCAGGGTCGTCCTCTTCCTCGCCCTTGGCTGCGGACTGGGCCTGATCCCGGCCACCAGACGGCGAATGCAGGCTTCGGGAAGCCCAGCGCACGAGCCTAAGCGCCCGGACAGCCCTGGGGGGGGAGGGGGAGAAGAGAGCAGTGAGCTTGCCGCACGGTGTGCCTGTCCCCCGCCCCGCCGAGCCGGCACAGAACTCACCCCGCCGCCGGCGCACACAGGACACTGCTCATCTCGACCTCAGCTCTGCAAGCGGCTCGGCGTCGCGTGTCGCGCGCGTCACTTCCGTCGCGCGAAACCGGAAACCAGGCGCAGTCCCAGGTCTCCGCTCACGACTACAGAACGTGGGACCACTAGCGCAACGGAAGTGACGCAAGTCTCTTGGCGGCCTCTTCCGTCGCAGGTCGGTCTCGACAAGCCGCGAGGGCATGCTGGGAAATGTAGTTCTCTACCGGCCCGAAGAGGAACTAGTCTGTGGCTACCTAACCAGCGATGTTGGGATTGAGGCCAGCCGACGGAGCAGGGTACTGGCGTCTTATTCCGACAAACTGGCCTCAGAGCGGGTTGCCCAGCGGGCAGGACCGCCCGAGATTGGCGCCCTGAGCCTGCATCCCTCGCGCTGTGCTGGCGCAGTCCCTGGACGCCTCTTCGCAGCCTTGCGACGCCCCAGTTTGCCCTCCTTGTGGGACTTGGAGTCACCGGAGTCATCTTGTTCCCTTTTAGGGTTCCCCACTAGGATCGAGTTCCGGAGCACATAGCCAGCCCACCGGTTCCCTCCTGGCAGTGAGCACCCCAGTGCCCTGGGACCTCAGGCATCTAAACCCAAAGGTGCTCAGGTCCCCGGCCTGCCAAGCCGTTCTGCAGGACAAGCCTTGCCCAAGCGCAATGCTCGCCCTGCCGCAGGCCATGATTCCCTCACCCTACACAGCAGGGCACACCCAGAGCTCTCAGGGAAAGCCATCTTGCACATGGACACATCTGCCTCTCCAGCCCAATGAAATCACGTGTACACAGCGTGGCACTAATCTTCTGAGGCTGCAGTGTGCTCCCGTGCACCTGGGGTCAGGCTGGGAGGGTGTCCCAGGGCTTCTGCTCTACTTGGTACCCCAGTTGGCTTCTTGGGAAAGCTGCTGGAGTATTCTGACCCTCTAGGCAAACTGGCCCTGGCTCTGTCTGAGTCATTCAGTCTGAAGACTACATAGGGAAGTACAAGCCTCATCACAGACTCTATGGGGATGTGTGTGTGAGGGGGTGTGGGGGGTAGGTAACTTAGTGACAAAAATCAGGTCACCTTGTGCTGTCTCCCTAGCTCAGCATCTTTGCCTCTGGAGCGCCCTTCACCTGCACCTTCTTTCTGGCAGAAGCACCAGACTCAGGACCAGTTTTGCACCCTCAGGAACTCTCCAGACATTAAAGCAAGGGTGGCAGGCTAGAGGTGTTGTGATCTCAGCAACATCTGGGAATGTTCCCCACAGAACAGACCCAGGAAGCCTGGCTCCAGATGCTTGGCAGCAGCTCAGCTCCCAACCTAGGAGTTCAAAGTTGCTGTGTCAACAGAGGCATCTGTGTACCCAGATCCTCCTCATTGGACTCTATCCACCATTTCCACCCCAGAACCTCACCCAGAATCTCTGCCAAACCAAGTAGCCCATAGGGAATCCCAGGAGCACTCACTGTGGGTGGTAGGAGGAGAGGGCAGGGAGTGGGAGGATGGGCCCGAATCTCTCTGGAGGAGGTGGAGATCAAAGGGCCCTGGAATTAGGTGTGGAGTTGCTGATTAGGCTGATGAGCCACCTAGTTGGAATGCTTTAGCCCAGTGGTCGGCAAACTCATTAGTCAACAGAGCCAAATATCAACAGCACAACGATTGAAATTTCTTTTGAGAGCCGAAAACCGACTTCTGTGCGTGGGCCACAAAGTTTCAATCGTTCTGTTCGTGGTATTTTGTGGAAGAGCCACACTCAAGGGGCCAAAGAGCCGCATGTGGCTCGCAAGCCGCAGTTTGCCGACAACTGCTTTAGGACATCAGGGCAGAAGTTGCTCTGGGACTGCAGAGTAGGGGCACAGCTGAGAGGCTAGGACAGGGGCTCACACTTCACTCCGAGGGGCCAGTAAGCCAGTCTCAGTCTCCATGACTGCCCTGGATGGATAAGGGAAGGAAGACACCTTGCATGGGCGACTGAACCGCTCCAGCTTCTGTCATCAGCTGTAAAATGTCACGCCTCCTTAGCAGGCTGCTGCTAGGACTGCTTCTGGGATGCCCTTGGTGGACCCCATGACAGCTGTTATGATTAATAACCGGGCAGCATAGAAATAGCCTATCCTGAGGCAGTGGAGGGCACTCTTACTGCCACTGGGTTCCTGGGGCACTCTGAGGCCAGGGTTTGGGATGAACATGACAAAGAATGAGCAAACCAACAGCACACTCGGAGGTCCCAGATCTGTCTCTTGCTTCAACGGTGTTTGGACAGAACAGACCCAGGGACGCCCTTCTTCCAGCCTCTGGCCACTCTCCTGGGTCTCATCCAGTCACCACCTGCAGAACCACCTCCAGGACCAGCCAACACACCGTTTTTTTCTACCTTCATTCCTTATTGCCGAACAACCATGAGCTCCCAAATTCGTCAGAATTATTCCACCCAGGTGGAGGCTGCAGTCAACCGCCTGGCCAGCCTGCCTCTGAGGATCGCCCCCACCTGCCTCTCTCTGGGCTTCTGTTTTGACCGTGATGATGTGGCTCTGGAGGGTGTGGGCCACTTCTTACACAAGTTGGAGAAGAAGCAATGAAGGCTCAAAGCATTTTAAAGTTGCAAAGCAAGCATGGTGGCTGCAGAATCCTTCCCAGGATGACTGGGGCAAAACATAGGACGCCATGGAAGCCACCCCAGCCTTGGAGAAGAGCCTGAAGCAGGCCCTTTTGGAGCTGCATGCCCTGGCCTCTACCCGTGCCGACCCTCAGCTCTGTGACTTCCTGGAGAACCACTCCCTGGATGAGGAGGTGAAAGTGATCAAGAAGATGGGCGACCACATTACTAACCTCCGCAGACTGGCCGCCCCCCAGGCTGGGCTGAGCGAGTATCTCTTTGACTGGCTCACCCTCAAGCAGGACTGGGAGCCTTTGGAGCCCAGACGCCTTTCAGAGGCTCCCCTGCATCCCCTGGTGTCTGGCTTTTACCCGAGTCTCTTCCTGAAACTACTAGCCACTCTTTTAACCACCCTGGAACCCTCTCCCATACATTGGACCAAATGAAACAATAAAGCCTTTTGCAGCCAAAAAAAAAAAAAAAAAAAAAAAAGGCCGAGACCGGTTTGGCTCAATAGATAGAGCGTCGGCTTGGGGACTGAAGGGTCCCGGGTTCGATTCCGGTCAAGGGCATGTACCTTGGTTGCGGGCATATCCCCAGTAGGGAGTGTGCAAGAGGCAGCTGATCGATGACTCTCTCTCATCAATGTTTCTAACTCTCTATCTCCCTTCCTCTCTGTACAAAATCAATAAAAATATATTAAAAAAAAAAAAAGAAGAATGAGCAAATCCAAGTGTCTAAATGACCCGTCCTTCGTCCCAAGCTCCTGCTGCCACTTGGTCTCTGTTGTGGGGAAAGGAGTCTGAAGAGGATGGCAGCCCAGTGCTCAGTGGGTCTCCTGTTGGACATAAACTGTCAGAGGACATCAGCAGGAGGCCAGGCCGCTCCCTGACTGTGGTGGCTCCACTCGAAACACACCCTTTTGCAATCACATCTGAACACAAGGACACAGCCCAAACCTCAAAGAGCACCAAACGCCCTGGTCTGGCTGAAGCAGGAAGGCTGTCCTTTACCAGCCATGTGGGAGTCTTGCCTCTCCTGTCCTCCTTTTGATAAGATATATTAAGACTAGAGGCCTGATGCACGAAATTTGTGCAAGAATGGGTCTTCCTTCTCCCGGCTGCTGACTCCGGCTTCCCTCTGGCACCCTGGACCTGGGCTTCCCACACAGCCCGGCTTCGTCCGGAAGGATGTCCGGCTAATTAGCATATTACACTTTTATTATTATAGATGCTGTACCAGGGTGCTGGGTGGAGGTGGGGGAAGAAATGGGGACATCTGTAATAGTGTCAAAAATAAAAATAAAGTAGCCCGAACTGATTTGGCTCAGTCAATAGAGCATTAGCCTGCAGACTGAAGTCATGGGTTTGATTCTGGTCAAGGGCACATGCCTGGGTTATGGGCTTGATCCCCAGTAGGGGGCGTGCAGGAGGCAGCCGATCAATGATTCTCTCTCATCATTGATGTTTCTATCTCTCATTTCCTCTCCTTTTCTGTCTGAAATCAATACATATATTAAATAACTAAATAAAAGTAAAAACTTAAATAAGATAGGCAGTAGTGGGCCGAATGGTGTCCCTTGCAAATTCACATCCACCCAGAACCTTAGCACTCAGCCTTATTTGGAAACAGGGTCTTTGCAGGTGTAATTTGTTAAAATGAGGTTGTCTGGGATAGGGCGAGCCCTAAACCCAATGACTGGTGTCCTTCTAAGAAGAGGAGACAGTTGGGGGAAGGGAGGACTGTAAGAGATCAACCGAAGGACTTGTATGCATGCATATAAACATAACCAATGGACACAAGACACAGGGGCAGGGGCAGGTGAAGCCATATGTTGGGGGGGATAAGGGAGGCTGGGGGGAAGTCAAGGGGGGAGAAAAGGAGACATGTACTACTATTTGTAATGCTCCAAACAATGAAAAAAAAATTAAAAATAATAAGTAAAAAGAAAATTCAAAAGAAGGAGGAGAAGAGACAAGACACTGAGCACACAGGGAGGGGAGGACATGTAAAGAGCCGGAAGCCAAGGGATGCCCAGCATCGCCAGCGACACCAGAAGCTCAGAGAAAGGCCGGAAGAGACTCTCCCCTGAGGCTTCAAAGGGAGTGTCCCTGCTCACACCAGGGTTTGGGGTTTCTGGTCCCCAGAACGGTGAGAGACAACTTTTCTGTTGCTTTATGTCATCCGGCTGGTGGTCCTTTGTTAAGGCAGCCCCAGGAGCCAGAGACGGGCACCCATTCAGAGAGGCGCCTGCTTCCTGACAGAGCAGAGCCTCACCCAGCGCCGGCCCGAACCCACAGCCCTTCCTGATGCCCTTCTACCGAGACATCCATGGCCCGCTGCACACTCTCCTAGCGGCACGGAGCATAAACTCACCTTGTTCTGCCACAGGTGTGTTCCCGGGGGAGGGCAGTGGCAGCCCCAACTAC